GTTTATAAAGGTAATATTGGTAAAAAATCTTAGCTTTGAAATAAAAAGTAATGCTGTTTTTGAATAAACATAGCTTGGCATAGAGAGCTTCTATCAATATGAGAGATAGCTTGTTAGAAAGCTATAATGACATAGTTTTATTTTTGATTAATAATGATGTTTGAATTTGTTATAAAAATAATGAGATATTTTAAAAAACTGGTTTGTTACACGAGACGAATTTTCTATTTTATATATGTAATTACACTTCCTGTGACATATTGTTTGACTGATAGATAATAATTCAAATAATAAACAAATGATAATAATTCAAATAATAAACAAATGATAGATAACAATTTGAATAATAAACAAATGATAGATAACAATTCAAATAATAAATGAATGATAAATCTTCAAATAATGATAACAATTCAAACAAAACAAATGATTTGAATAATTTGAACAAAAATTTTTTATGAATAAAAACTCAACACTATTGTAGAGTCACTAAATCTGGCACAATAATGTTCAAACTAAACTAAAATATACAACTACACTACTTGAGGCATCCCTACAAACAATATAGTAAAACTAATAAAAGGGGTCTCTAACTAATAATTAAATGTTGGCCAAACCATTAATCATCAAAAAGGATTATGAATCAATCAATCATGCCAGATTTATCAATTAATGAAAGCATTATTTTTATTTTTATTGAATAATTTTTTTTCATTAAAGGAGATTTCAAGCATATTTATACTTCTTAAAGTATTACAAATAACATGATTTTGTCCAATAAAATAAAATAGAATGATAAATGATGACTAATTGACAATTACTAAAGTTATATGTCAAAAATGTGTCATTGATGATGTCATGATTAAATGATACCTGATGAAATGTTTTTGTCATAATTAATTAAAAATAAAATTTATCTTTCTTGAAAATATGATTAAACAGAAAAATATGACAATGTAACTCTGAACACATTTATATTGCACCAATTCCATTCAATTCATTAATGGCATAGAAGACTTTGACAAACCTTTTTTGAAGTCAATACAGGATAAGTTTTTGGATTATTTTTGCAGGAAAATCAATTAATTAGCTGAATAAACCCTGAACTAGAGATAAATCTGTTTTTGACTGATTAATCGAAAAATTTATCAGACCAACTCACTTATTTAACTTATCAAAAAATTATACTAATCCAGAATTAAAAGAGCACAACAATCATGATTGTTATATTTGTAGTCCTACTCTAACCTAGAAACATCATCATCAAATCCATCATCTTTAAATAGTGTTAGTTCTCAAACCTATACTAAAAAATAAATAATTTATGAGGAAGTAAAAAAAGGAGTATTGCTTGAAAGTATTTCTTTAAATGAAATCTCACTAGAGGCTCAAGATACTCAAAATCTTAACGATGAATCTAACTCATTACAGCAAGGATTACTTGCTCTCACTACTCCTCTCATCACTTTCAATGTCTGGTTACTAGGTATTGGAGCAAAAATATCATCAATTCCATTGCATCTAGCCTATACATGGGATTGTAATTACCTAATTACCGTAAATACGTAATTCGTAATTAACGTAATTAATTATCACTTTCACTCTTTAAAAACGTAATTACGTAATTAATTACGGGCGACGAAATTAATTACGAATAACAACAAATTAATTATGGGAAATATCATAATTAGGGATGTTGAACGGTTGTCTCAACTACAGTTGAACCGGTTGAGACTAAACCAAGCCATCCGTGATTTAACCAATATTAATATTAATATCAGTCTGTCCATCTGATCTACATAAATACCCAATTAAATTTCGGCATTTTTTAAAGTCGAAAATTTATAATTTAAGGATATTAATAGGATGTTGGATGGTTGGCTTGAGGCCAAATTAAGCCACTTGCGGTCTAACCAATACAGATGAACCATAGAAATAGTTTAAACTGCGGTTAAACCGTGGTTCGTTGATTTGATCTACATAAATAGCCAATTAGATTCCGACGTTTTTTAGAATTAAAAATAAAAAAATTTACAGTCGTGTGACATGTCCTTTCAAATTATTTTCTATATTAAATAAAAAATTTCTAATTTGTGTCACATGAATTT